GATTCAGAATGGTAAGCAAGTTTCCATTTAGTGTGCATATACTGCCATCGTCTGTTTTTAGCTGTACATTACATAACCAGAGCATGCCACTCCATACTCTTCTCACAGCTAATGAAAACTTTCAACATTTAATTTCTTTAAGCATAAATGTGCAGTCATTTTAAAAATGTATGATGCCCGCCAGAAGGTGGTTATCTTCACCTGAAGCTAAACATATCTGTAATTTCTTCATGCCAAAGGGTGTTGATTTCATTTTGCCATTGGTGCTCAAATGCAGTGACCTTACAGAACTCTGAAATCCAGGGATCCAGTATTGTTTATCGATGCCTTTTGCAGACATTTCTATTCAGTAAATGTTTATGTTTTCCTTCTTTCTTCTTTTCTTTGTTTATACTGAAGCACTAGTCTGACTTTACCTTTACATATTTTGTGTCTTTGCTCTATTTTGCTGTGATTCTTGAGTCAGATGCAACCATTCTGATTTTCCAAGTGAGAATATAAAAAATCAGATCCATTTGTACAACCAGATGTGTTCATATAACATTTATCTATTACAAATTAGATTTTTTTTGTCTTTAATACCTGACAGGTTTGAGTAAAAGAAGGCAATAATACTCTAAATGACTTATACCCAAAACGAGGTATGCAAAACATAATTTTAAAAGTTCCAATGACTAATAAAGCAAAATATTTCTTTGAAAATATGAAATAGTTCAGTTTTGTAAAGATAAAAATTTGATTGCAGATCATGGTAACAGGTTAAAAAGAAAGGTCAGTTGTTATATTGGTTATGTATACATTGATTGATAACCATTCTGTAATGTAAATAGAATAGAATAGAATAGAATAGAATAGAATAGAATAGAATAGAATAGAATAGAAAGTAGAAATCACCTGGTAAAATCAGGTGTAGAAGCAGCAACGTGACAGTATGTATAAATCGACATCAAGACTTCTAGATTTATACAAAGACATAAACAAAAATACATAGACATAGACAAAAACAGAAGTAAGAAGAACTGCAGTTAGGGCAAAAGTACCGCATAAGAAAACACTGTTATTAGATGATTTTGGGAATAAATATATTTTTTGATGGAACTCCATCAATGTTCTCGTTTATTAATCATAATATCCATAAGAGAAGAACGTGTTGTAAAACTTATAAACCGTTGCATTTGTAAAAAAAAAAAAAAAAGAAAAAGGAAAAGAAGAAAAAGAGAAATCTCTTTTGTGATCCTCTCGACACTCCGTACTCGTACAACGCGTCTCAGTCCGTGACGTATTTACGACTGGGTCATTTAGTGCTCACATTAACGAGCTTTGTTTGAAAGAAAATATTATGTATCACAGTACCAGATAATTGTTTGTTACTTGGTCACTCATTAAAACCACTCTTGTCTTTATTAGACATCTGCAATTTGGACAAAAATGACCGATCTGACAGAATCTCTGGTCAAAGAAGGCTGGTAGGTAGCATGTTAGCTTATGTTGCTGCTAGCAGCAGTTATGCTGAGATGTCAGATAGGTTGCTGGATAAAATCAATAGTAAGCTGATTTCCAATCAGAGTGTTGTAAGAGTCCGACGTCAGCCAGACTTGCACACACAAACCCGAGAATATGGTGCTCGGGAGGATAAAGTTATGCTTTCAGTAACTTATTTTTTGTTGTCTGCTTCAGAATAGCAAATGACGCCTCTGCTAGCTAGCGCATACTTAGCATTAAAGACAAACAGATGCTTCTTCTCGTCGTCAGTGAACAATATTGTTGATACGGCTATTGATATGAGAAGACAGTCCTCTAAATTAGATTCTTGAACTATAAGTAAGTGTATAATATACAGCCATTAGCAGTGCTGTGTTCTACACAGTCTGCAGAATCCACTTTGTGTTGCAGTTCCATACAGCACGCCATTAGACATAAAGTGTCTTTTTTACGTTTACTGGGTAATAAAGTGTGTCAGTATTCACATGCTTCTGTATATTTGAACTAAGGCACTTTTGATGGAAAAATGTGGTTTTGAATAGATTACTATTCGCCTTAATTCCCTTAAATGTTAAGATTTTAAACATGATAAACAAAACAGATAACCTGCAACACACATTTTAGCATTTTTAGTATGTTTTCAGACTTTTGGGTGGGTGAGTTTCAGAAAAAACAGCATTGTGTTGTTTATCTCAGTAGGAAAATGTTTTCCTGTTGATTGTTTTTGATGCCCTTTCTGCAATTATTTAGCCATTGAGCGATTGCAAAAATCTAAACGACATATAGCATGATTAATTTTTTTGCCTCTTCATATTTTTTACCTCATTTTCTGTGTGTAAAACACTTCACTCTATTTAAACAACAGCATTTAAGAAATCGCCCATTGAGAGCGATCAGAACAATGCTATCATTGCATTTCTGTCAGTACTTGTCTTTTTCCTGTTTGGCTTTCTAGTTTTTTATCTGTTTGTTTCACCCTTTTATTTGCATTGCTCCATTCAGTAATTTAAGTGCATGAAGAAAGAAAAATGTTTATGAGCATATTTAGTCCAGCAGTGCATGTTCAGGTCCTACTCTTAGTTTTTTTCTCTCTCTTATAAAATCTCTTTGAACGTCATTTAAAATGGAATTTAACAGTTTATTTTTTATTATCTAATTCTTATTTGGTTTGGTCTCAAATACAGTGGTTTAACTAAATGGATTTTCCCTCTAGATGGACAGAAGTTTTTTTTTTTTTTTTTTTTTTTTTTTTTTTTTTTTTTTTTTTTTTTTCCCCTTAAAAAAAAAAATTTTTTTTTTCTGTTTTTTTCTTTTTTACAAAT